GGGCTCAAAAACCTACCAAAACCTATAGAAAATCAATGATTTCGTCCTCTTGGGCCTCTGGGGGGGCCAAGAGGGCGCCAAGGCGGCTCAAGATGGGCTCTGTGCGGGCCAAGACGGCCCCGAGAAGGTCCAATATGGCCCCAAGAGGGCCCAAAAAAACCCACTGACAGCCCAAGAGGGCCCCAAGAGCGCCCACACTTGCGCCTCCAGAGACCCAAATCATTGATTTCCGTATGGTTTGGTGATCGTTTAGCGTTCTCGCCTTGGCGGCCCAAGCAGCTTCCTAAATCGCTCCAGAACAAACCCAAGAAGCCCCCAAGAGGGCCCCAATACGGCCCAACTGAACCCCAAGACGGCCCAAAGAAGCCCCCAAGACGGTCCAAGAGGCCCATATGACGGCCCAAGAGGACCCCAAAACGGTCCCAAGGCGGCCGCAAGAGGCCCCCAAGACGGCCTCCGAAGGCGCGAAACGGCGCAAAAGCGCTCCAATACGGCCAAAGACGCCCCCAAGAGGCCCCAAGAGGCCCCCAAGAGGCCTCCAAGATGTCTTCAAGAAGCCTCCCAAAGGCTCCAAAGAAGCACCCCAAAGGCCACACAGCGACTGGAGTGTAATGCAATTTTTCCAACCTGGGCGAAGTGCGGTGCAGCGCCAGCCAGGTGGAAGTTGGTCGCAGCGGCGCCCATGATTAGAGCCAGCGCTGGAAGGAAATATGGGGAGGGAGGGAGAGAGTATGAAAAGGAGGGAGGGGGTAGAGGCCCCAAATAAGTCCCCAAGAGGCCCAAGGAAGCTCCCAGGAGGCCTCCAGGAGGCCCCCAAGAGGCTCCCAAGAGGCTCCGCAACGACGTGACCGTACGTGCTCCGGACGTGCACCCCGCGAAGCGAGAGGAATCTAGCAATGCCGCAATCGAACCGAAGAGAAGCTCCTTCCCTTTGATCCCTCTCCGTCGGGGGGGGGGTCCGGGGGGGGGTCAGATACGCATCCCCCCTGGGGTCCCGGGGCCTCAGGAAGTGCCAAGACAGGCCAAGACCGCCCCAAGAGGCACCCGAGACGTCCATGAGGGCCCCGAATCGCCGAACGATCGGTCCCAAACGCCTTCACGCCCCCCAGACTGCCCAGGAGGCCTCCAGGAATCCAAGAGCACTCCCGAGACGGACCCATGAGGCCACGAGCACTGCCGCTGTTTTTGTTTAAGATAAGACAGTTTTCGCCTTTCCCACTGCCCGCCGCACCAAAACGAAGCAAGAGGCCCCCAAGATCGCCCCCAAAGATGCCTCCAAGAGGGTCCTAAAACAGCCCAAGACGACCCCAAGGCATCCCAAAACGCCGGCAAATCGGCCCAATAGGCCTTCAAGACGGCTCCAAGATCGTGCCCCGACGGGGGACCCGCACGGACATTTCGAGCCCTCGGCCCCGAGAGGCCCCCAGGGGGCCCCAAGAGGTTCCCAAAAGCTCCCAAAAGGCCCCCAATAATCTCCCAGGAGGCCCCAACATTCCTCCCAAGAAGCCCCCGAGAGCCTTCCAGAGGGATCTCAAGAAGCATCCCTGAGGACTCTAGACCACGTCAGCGTCGTCGTCGTCGTCGTCGTCGTCGTCGTCGTCGTCGTCGTCGTCGTCGTCGTCTCCCTTCAAGGTCGGCGGCACCGGCCCTTGCCTTCGCAACACTTTGAACAAAGGGGGGAATAAGGGAGGGAGTGAGGACGGGGCGAAGAAAGCACATCATCTCGCCGCACTTTCCAGAAGACGCCCTGCACCGTGCCTTCTGGCCTGCGAGCTTGTGCGACCTGAACACCACTTCTTCGCGCGTTATCGCCCTCAGAATGCGCGGCGGCCGCACGATCACCGCCGGGGCGCAGACGCAACGCGCCGCATGTCGTCGGTGCCAGTTGAGCTACAGCCCGACCAAGGACAGAAACAAAAACCCTCAAGAACAGGAGACCCTCCGCCGTCCAAAACACACAACACATCCAAGGGCACTCTCTCATGATGCACAAAAACATTCGACGAACACGAAGAACCTTAGGGTACCCCTCCCGAACCGACCTCGATCTTCTACCTCGGTCCGGCCGTAGCGTCCGTGCGCGCTCTGAATTTGTTTGCGCCCGCGCGCCCATCGCATTTCATGCTGTGAGGGAGCTGTGGCCGTCCGCGGCCCTCTCCCCCCCCCCGTCCCTCCCGCCTTCTTGTCGCCGTCTGTACGCGATGCGCTTGGCAGCATCACTGTTGTGACTCGACCGCAACTTGGATCCTATGATACCGCATGCAAGACGGGGGCGAAGGGAGGATCAGGAGGTCCTCCTCCTCCTCCTCCACCTCCTCCTCCTTCCCCTACCTATGGTAGTGGTGGTAGGAAATGGGCCCATCATCCAGGGCGCCACAGATCGAAGGTGCCATTGAAACGGCGCCCACGTGCATGCGCTGCCTACGCGCATGCGCTGCCCAGCCGTGCGCGCAGTGTGCCTCATAAGGCGCGGATTTCCGCCACCACGCCGTAAGCACTGAATGGAGTGCCCTCCGGTCCTTCGGAGCGCCCAGTCTTCAATACTAACAACTTTTGAATCCGAGTACTTGGTACTGAAATTCCTCAGTAGCCAGAAATCCGTTGCCCCTCGGAAAAGGTATCCCGCTCGCGCGAACACGCCCTAACCGCGCACCTTCGCAGCATGCCTGAGACATGTGAGTGAAATCGCGATAGGAAGAACGTTCACATCAGGAATCGCGTCGCGATGGGAAGAAGGACATGGCAACGACGAATGTCCAAAAACAGCTTTCCAAAACATGCTGAGGGACAACGTTCAACCATATTCTCAGCGCGTCAGTGCGCATACAAACATGTATATACAACAAGACGAAAGGCGGAGCAAACCGGACCGCCAGGGACGTCCCTGCGACCTGGCGATCCGCCTTCAGGGGCAGATTCCTACCCATTCCTTTTTGGCGTCAGGCCACGCCTGCCACATCTTGGGACCCCGGCGTGGATAGAGACCGCGCTAATGGACCACCTCCTGCGCACGCTCCCTGGGTCGCGAAAATGGTACACCTGACGCGCCCTGCGACCTTGAGTGGATCGAGACTGCGCTCAGGAACCACTCCATGAATACCCTCACGGGTGCCGAGAAAATGCTGGTGCCAGCCAAGACCTGCGGCAGGGCAAGGCTGTCAAGGCCTAGAAAACGTTTTTCACCTGCATTATGGCCCTCAACATGAGTTGAAAGATTCGTCCTCCACGTGGCACAAGTGACCCACCAGCGGGTGGGTCACCCGAAAACTGGTTCAGAACAACTACCTGTTTCACTTGCATCCTGGGCCTCAGCATGAGTTGGTGCATTCGTCATCCACATGCACCTGGGCACTCATAGATGTGCATATGTGCTTATCTGTGCGCGCGTGTGTATGTGTATATATATACATATATGTATCAGCGCCACTTGTCCAGGACAGATGTTCTAGGGGGACAGTTAACACACATGTGATTCGCCTGCGAATGAATGACACTCGGGGTCCAGGGGGGACTGGGGGTGGTCATCATTTTTGAACCCGTTCTGGACATTAGGCCTCGCTTGACCTGTTTGCCCTCTGGGCATTGGCCAGGCTCAGCCCTCAGCCCCAGGTTGTGCACACCTTCGCGTCGGGCAAGCTGGCAGCCAGCTATGCACACCGCCGCCTGCCCAGCCAAGACTGATTGCGAGGCCCACTATTGGGGAAACCAATAGGTACTGATACCGCTACTCCCCGGACCTCTCCCGGCTCTGACCAGAATTGAGGCGAATCCAGCGGTGACGACGAGAGCCTTCGAGGAGGCCCCAAAAACGGAAAAAGAGGAATGGGTAGAGGTGTCGGTACCTTCTCCTCCGAAACATTCCGTGCAACCGTGCACGCCCCCGACGCTTTGACACAGCACGGGGGCGCCTCGCCTCGCCGAAGCTGACAGTCGACTTGCCGCTTCGACTCTCTCTCGGCTGGTGCCGCGCAGAGGGGGGCAGGGGGGGAGGGAAGGCTTCTTAGAAGGAGGCTGCTTCTTAGAAGGCGCTGACCTTACATCTAAACAGAACGCCCGCCCCTTCTAAGAAGCAGGGGTGCTTCTAAGTGGCCCTCCCCCCTCCCCCCTCCCCCCTCTGCGCGTGGCCGACTTGGGCTCCCACGTCGCTCCGGAGGCGCCATCTCTTCGCAGCCAGCGCAGCAGAACAATATGACGGAAGCCCCGATTGCTCGAAGACGCCGGAGAGGCCCCCGATACCAGCCCCACGAGGCGCACTACAGTAGGGGTCCGACCACAAGAAACCTTCCGCAAGAAACCCAACCCTGAGACCCCAGGACGTCCATCGATTTTTGGTGTGAGAACGTCGCGCTTTCCACCGCAAAACCACCGAAACCCAAGGACCCCACGGCACCCTGGAGACAAGCAGGGTGCTTCTTGGCATGGGTCCCCACTGTCTGATGGATTGCTCGAAGGCGCCGGAGAGGCCCCCGATACCAGGCCCACGAGGCGCACTAGGGTTAGGTCGGGGATGTCCCCCAAAAGGCTGATTTTGGGGGACAAATCATATATAACTAAAAAATGCTCAGAACTCTAATCGAAAATACTCAAAAATCGTCTCCATACTGTTTTCAAAACATTTTTATATGTTTCTCCTGTAGAGGGACATGCCCGACTGAACACTAGGGGCCCAAGACCTCCACAGGAGGGGTCCCAAGAACGCGCCACTGCCACGATTTCAGAAGCCACTCTTCCACGACGAAGGCCCCGAGACCCTCGAGAGGCCCCCCCGGAGGCCCCCAGGAGGTCCCCAAAACGTTCCAGAGTGTGGCCTCCGACTCAAGAGACCCACTGGGGCTCCATCACCCCTCCATCTCTCCTCGCCCTTCCTTCCTACCTCTTCCTTCCCTTCCCCTCCCTCCTCCGTCCCACCTCCTGCCCCCTCCCAACCCGACTCCCTCTTCCGTGCCTCCTCCTCCCCCCCCCATCCCACCCCCCCGCCCCTCCCCCCTCGGGGCGCACGCCTGGAACGAACCCGATCAGGAAGATCATGCCACGGCCACGGGACCAATAGAGTAAGAACTTGGCCTTAGAAGCCGAGCGCGGGACGACTGTGCCCGTGATGGCGCGGGCTCCCTCCCCGCCGACCTCGTCCTGATCGCGCCCCTCCCTCCTCGCACTCGCTCCTCCTCCCTCGATCACCGTATAGGCTAAGGCGAGGTCAGGACGAGAATAAGATCGGGTGGAAACAAATCGAGAACCTCTGAGATCCGGCGGCTCTGGAGGATGCCTCCGGTGCCGCGGCCTTCTTAGAGCGTTGCGGAACGCTCTGAGAGCATTCCGGAACGCTCTGGAACGGATTCATCCTCGTCCTAGCCCCGTCTGTGAGTCCCCCAGGGGTCCGCGGAGGTCTCCAGAGGCATCTGGATGCAGCCAATCTCCCAGCGAAGCGCCGAGCCTTGTGCTTCCGCGTGCAAAGAGAGCACGGCGCGCCCCTCTGCAGACACACGGGCGTAGGCGCGCTGAGCTCCCCGCGGGGCACGGTCCGAGCGCGGGAAGCCCTCCGAAGCGGGCGGAGCGCCCCCAGGGCGGCAGGATGCGTGCGCGGGGTGTGCCGGAAGGGGCGGTGGAGGCGGCTCGGGGACAGTGTCTCTGGGGCCCCGTGGGAGTAGCTCCGTCAGAGGAGAGAACAACGACATCAACATAGCAACTCGGAGGTACGCGCGGACTGCTCGGATCCGCGCTGGGACCCCCTGGCGGCGCCTCCGGCGCTGCCCCTGGCGTGCTCCGCGCGCCAGGGAGGGGGGCAAGCGCCGATCTGAGAAATCCGCGCGGACCTCCGAGTTTTCATGCTCATGTCGTTTGACGTCCCCCTACGTGGGAGTAGCTCCATGCGGGGCACGAGCCATGTGCGGGGTGTCGAAATGGGCGGGGGGCGGCATGCGGGCTGTGTCTCTGGGGCCGTAGGTGTGCTCCCAACGGCGTCGCGAACATGGGAGAGGAAGATGGAGGACGAGAAAGTAAAGGAGGATGTCGGGATGCGCGGCACTGCGGGGAGAAAGCGAGGACTCAACAACACGGGAGGGTCTGGGAAAACCACATACGCCCAAGCACCTCGACACTCCTGCTCTAGAAGGACAAATGGGAGCACAAATGACAACTTTCGGAGGTCTGCCCAAACTTGTGGGCCGCCCCCTCCTCTGTTTTGATGCGCGAAACTCGCGAAGGAGGCGCCAAGGAGGCGCCAGAGGCGCCGCTAGAAGGCGCCAACAGTATATGCTTATGCATGGTATGTCGGCGGTCGATCCCCACTGCTCTTTCTCAGAGGCAAGGAAGGACGACACCACCACCAGGGGAAAGAGTGACGATGTAGTCACCCTGTTTTGCAGCGTCCCACCCGAGGCATCTTCAATAATCAGCTGGGGGAGCCGTGAACCTCCTCGAAACTGCTACTCCACGGGCCTCCCCTGGGTTCTTCTGACTAGAATATCAGGGAGAATCCAGCCGTGCCGACGAGGGCTCTCCAAGACGAGCAGCGGGAGTGGTATACAGTGGAGGCCAGCCCATCAGACACCTTCCACAAGAAACCTAACCCTGTGACCCCAGGACGTCCTTGGATTTTTGTGGGAACGTCACGCTTTCCACCGCAAAACCACCGAAACCCAAGAAACCCAGGGCACCCTGGAGGCAAGCTGGGTGTTTCTTGGCGCGGGTTTCCACTGCATCTTTTCCTCCTCTCCGTGGCAGTGTCGCCCCCCTTCCTCCAGCTCCTCCCTGCCGAGCCAGCGTCGCCTCGCACTCTGCGCCGGGGGTGTCGAAGAACAAGAGCCAGCCAGCCACCTGCGCCCAGCGCACGCGCACGCCACCAAGCGAGGCGTACGCCGCCGGCGGCAGCAAATGGGAGCGGGCACAACTGGCTCCCGTCATGTCGACGCACCGTCGAGGCGGCGCCCCTCGCGCCACGAAAAAAGCACGACCGAAAGCTTCGGATTAGTTTAGGCATCTCGGGGCCCTTCCTTAACCACCCCGACACACGAAGCGTTTAGTAAACGCAACCAAAAAAAGGAATCAAACAGGGCAGAGTTGTTTAGTAAACGTCCATGGCCGCTCAGTAAACGCCAGTTGTGCGGTCCGGGTGGCCTTGATTCCTGGACCCCAGGACCGTCAACACAACAATTCGGAGCAGAAAGCGGGTCTCGGGGGAGGTGTCGACACCGCTTAATCTTCAGCAGCCCCCACTGGACGACAACGTTCGGTGGCCACTTATGGGAGCCTCCCATACCATCTTGTCGGCTCTTGCGGATCGACGCTCATCGACGCTGGTCGACGCTAGATCGACGCTAAGCGACGCTAAATCGGCGCTATCTCATCGACTCCCAGACGCTAATCGACGCTAAGGACGGAGTTAAGAGGGTATACCAGGCTCCCATGATTTGCTACCGAAGACAACAGACGTCGTCAAGGACTGCCCCGATTCGGGCCGCCAGTGGCCAGCAACCTTGGAACACCCGCGCCCGCGCGCCGCTGCTGCGTCGGCACGGCGCGAACCTGGCAGAGTCGCGTGGCAAGGGAAGGGGGAACGCACTTCTGGTTCGGAAGGACGACATGGCGGACTCCGGAAACCCTGAACCCAAGAGCGTGCTCATCTCCTGGGTGTGCATCTCTTACTGCCGCCGCCTTCCGCTGGCCTTCCGCCGCCTTCCGCCGGGGAAGAGATGATAGCTCCTTCTATCCTCGAAGGTGAGGCCCTTTCTGGAGCGGTTCAAGCCGAAAAGAGGGCGGGACGGGGGACAGCGTGAGGTGTGATGAAGTCTGGGGTGGAAGTGGAAAGGGTTGACGAAATGATGACTGCTGAGGTCTCCCACAACTGGGGATGTGTCGACACCTATCCCAGGCTTCGTGGGGTTCTCGAGTGGACCAGAAATTCGGGGCCCAACCCTGGGATATACGATGGGGGGGCGTCTATCCTCGATAGGGGTGCGTCAGAATAGCTCCCTTGGGGTGTATCCCAAGGTTTCCCCCTTGTCTGAGTGGCCAAACTTCTCGGACACAACCGCGGGATTTTGGCAGAAACATCGCCTGCGAGCAGAGGGGAAGAGTGGACTGGGCAGAGGGGGAGAGGTGGCCGGGAGCAGGGGTGAGGGGTGATGAAGTCTGGGGTTAAACTGGAAAGGGTTGACGAGATGATGACTGCTGAGGCCTCCCACTAAGACGAAGCCATGGCGAGGACAGAATCATGGGAGTAAATGGAGAATCTCTGAGATCCGGCGGCTCTGGAGGATGTCTCGGGCGCCGCAGCCTTCTCAGAGCGTTCCCCGGAACGCCCTGAGAGCCTTCCTGAACGCTTTGGAACGGATCTATCCTCGTCCTAGCCCCGTCCGATGAAGTCCAGAATGGAAGCGGAAAGAGTTGACGAGATGATGACTGCTGAGGCCTCCCACGCTGTCCGCGGGCGCCTCACCTGTCCAACCTCCAGAATACAAACAAAAACAGCGCCGGCAAGAAGCCGACATGACAGTCGCTTCAGCCAAGGCGGACACGGACAACAAGATGAGGCCCCTCCCTGTGTTACCGACTGGGTCATCAAGGGCGGTTCCTCTGGGCCTCCCCTTTCTCCATCCTGTGGGCCCTCGGAGCACACCTCGATCGCGATGACTTGGAGAGCTCAGTACAACTCCTGCTCATCGAAGCGTATCTTTGAAAATGATTGGGATTGTGGGCGCAGCTGGACCTATAACAGAAGAACAACCTCCAAGAAACTGAATCCCTCCGTCGGCCAAACTGAAGAACATTCGAGGGTACCCTCCTCCACAAACGCAAGAACATCCAACAAACACGGAGAACATTCGGGTACCATCTCCGAACCGATCTCGGTCTTGTAACTCGGCACGTCTGTATGAGGCCAAAGCTAATGGGCCCAACTCGGGGACATTCGATTGGGGGTGCCCATCCTCGCTGGGGTGCGCCAATGTGCTGGGGGTGTATTAGCGGGCTTCTGACAGTTTCTACGACCTTGCTTTTGTTTTAGGGAGATCACCTGCTAGCATTTACCGAGTATCTGAAAGGCGATGGCAATAACGAATAGCTCAGGGACAGGTATTACACGCATTCGTCGGCAACAGATTGGCGCTCAAAGCAGCGCCGCCCGCGTACAGACTTTGCAGCCGCCCAGGGGTGCAAGCGTCCCCAACGGCGGAACAGTCTCTGTCATGCAGTTCTTCGCCCTCCCACGTTGGAGGCGCAGGGAGAGGGCAAACGCGCGCGGCACCTGCCAGAAGAAGTCCACCACGTTGACGGCGTACACCATCTGGAACGGCACGGACTGCACTAGCCTGTCGTACTCCATCATCGCCCTCGGCGCGCGGACACGAGCGCGCCTCCTCCGGCTCCTGCTTTTCCTATCCTCCGTCTTCTGGTTCGGCTACACCGGACTCACTTCTATAGCGCTCACTTCTATAGTGCTCACTTTGAAATTGTGGTCCGGAAGGGGCCGCACATGCAGGCACATGCCGCACAGTCGCATGCACATGCCCATGCAAATATACAAAAGCCTTAACAGCATTGCCGCACATGCGCGCACATGCCACACCGTCCGACGCACACTCGAATGCACGGTCAAGCAAAACTCTGAAAGCATATACGCACATGCCAGCACATGCCACAGAGATGTCGCAGGCGATAGTGGGCATTTCGCAACCCAGAGTTGCGAGGATGTCTCAAGCAAGCGTGGCCGGACCACCATGGGGCAAGGCATCTTGGAAACCAGAGTGGCGAGGATGTCGCTGGTCAAGGTGACCAGACCACCATGGGGCAGGACACCTCCGAGGTCTGAGTTGTGAGGATGTCTCAGGCGAAAGTGGCCTGACCACCATGGTGCAAGAGATCTCTGAGGTCAGAGTTGCGAGGATGTCTCTGGCGAGAGTGGTCTGACCACCTCAGCCCAGGGCGTCTCGGAACCCAGAGTTGCGAGGATATCTCAGGCAGGAGTGGCCTGACCACCTGCTCAGGGCATCTCGAAACCCAGAGTTGTCTCAGGCGAAAAAAGCCGAGACATTATGGAGCAGGGCATCATTGAGGTCATAGTTGTGAGGATGCCTCAGGCGAAAGTGGCCTGAACACCTCAACTCAGGGCATCTCGGGCGAGGATTCTAAAGCGAAAGTGGTCTAACCACCTCAGCTCAGGGCGTCTCGGAACCCAGAGTACCGAGGATGTCTCAGGCGAAAGGGGCCGAGACACTATCGAGCAGGGCATCATTGAGATCAGGGTTGCGAGGACGTCTCAGGCGACAGTGGCTGGCCCATTCGTAAGATCGGGTGCTGCCCCACGACCTCGCGCAAAGCCTTGTGAAGGTGGTGCAGTAATGCCTTGTGCACCTGGTCGTTCCAGCATTGTTCCGGCGTGCCGCTCCTGCCGGCGAGCGCGGGCAGGGCGAGCGCTGCGCGCGCCTGTGCGGAGCGTGAGCGGGGCGCCCCGTCTATCGGGGCCGCGCAATCAAGCGAACGCTCGTCCGCGCGCGGCTTGCGCGCGGACGCGAACGCGCCGGCGCCCGGAGACGAACGCCGGCCCCGGCACTCTTGCACGTCCCGCACATGCCCCACACAGGTACGCACAGTATTCGCACATGCCGACCTCGCCAAGTGGCCGAGCCAGGCCAGCGATTCCGAGATTCCCTGAGCTCGGGCCGTCAAGCCATTTTCGCCTGAGACATCCTCGCGACTCTCACCTCCTCCTCCTCCTCCTCCTCCTCTTCCTCCTCCTTCTCGTCTGGCCGAGCCGAACAGGCGGGCGGGCCGGCCGAGCCGGGGGCGTCCGCCTCCTCCGCCCCCCCCTCCTTCCCCCCCCCTCCACCTCCCCCCCCCCTGCTTCTCCGGCCGAGCTGAGAAGGCGCGCGGGAGAGCGTTTTACTAGGAGGGCACGCCGCCGCCAGCTCACAAACCGGGCGAAGAACCGCCCCCGCCAGCAGCGGGCGAGTCTAAACGCACAACAAACTCTTTCAGGAAGCCCTGGCACGCCCCAGGTTAGCTCTGCGAAGGCCAGGAGGCATTGGAGGCACAAGGGTCCCAGACAGATCCTAGGGCATGAGCGTGCATGTGCATTGGGATGTGCACGCATGTGCGCCCGCGCGCTTCACCGCATGTGCGTGCATGTGCGGGCCCGCGCGGCCTCCCGAAGAGAGGTTGCACAGGCATGTGCGTGCATGTGCCGATGACAGATCTGCGATTCTCGAACACCTCCCGCATGTGCAGGCATGTGCGCGCATGTGCGTCGGACTGTGCGTGCATGTGCGTATGATGGATACACCAAAACACAGCGCACATGCCCCCGCACATGCCCGGGCACGACGTGCACAGTAGGAAGTCCATCCAAGAAGGGCCGCACAGGCCTGGCACATGACTGGCACATGCCGCGCACATGCGCGCACATGACAGCGCAAAAACGGCTGCACATACACCCACCCAGGGGTATAGATGTGAGTGCGGTGTACTTCTCGTTCGAGCTCAGAGGGCGGCCTGACGATTCAAATACAATCACTCCTGAAACAGCGGGATATCCAGGGATATCTTCCTCCTCCTCCTCCCCTTCCTGCTCCTCCTCCTCCTCCTCCTCCTCCTCCTCATCCTCCTCCCCCTCCCCCGACGACGACGACGACGAGAGGGGGCGGGCGCAGACCGCCTTGCCCCGTTGAGCAGGTGGCCCTCCATCATCACGCGGAAGGCCGCCTCCGCCAGCGGCCCCAAGGGGGCGGGGGAACGCTGGGAGCACCGCCGGCGGGGCGGGGCCGCGAGTGCCGCCGGCCCAAGTAGGGCGACGAGATCTATACATATCCACTGCTCCTGGCCAGGCCCATCCTGGGCCCAGGAGCTGTGTATATGCCTCCCTGGCCAGGCCAGGAGGGCGTATACACCGCTCCTGGGCCCAGGATTGGCCTGGCCAGGAGCAGTGGATCTGCATAGATCTCGTCGCCCTACCAAGGCCCCAGGGTTAGGTTGGGCATGTCCTCCTACAGGCGGAGTTTGGACGACAAACAAAGCATAGTCGAACAATACTCCCGTGATAAGCAGAGATAGTGAAGTAGAATCGTCCCCACATGATTTTTTTTGACAATTTTCAAAGATGCCTCCTGTGGAGGGACAGGCCCGACTTAAGCTCAGGGGGCGGAGGAACCCCGCGGGGCCTGCGCCCATGTGGCCCTGGAATTCCGACGGGCTTCCAACCCCCTCACCTCCTTCGGGGAGACGCAAGGGACTCGGGTTCGGGGGGCTCGAATTGGCCTGGCGGGACCGTCAGAAAAATGACGAGTTCCCGTCCGAGTTTTGACGCGACGTTCCACTGCAAACGTCCTACGAAGACTGGACAGTCGTTATCCAGAACGGGCTCGTAAAAGAGCGTCAGCAAACCCAATTTCTGGCGAACCCAATCTTACGTTTCCCCGACTCCTGCCCGCGTGCCCCCCCCCCCTCTGGCTTTAAGGTGAAGGTGCGAGCGGGCTCGTCCGAAGATCGAAACCCTCGTCCTCCTCCTCCTCCTCCTTCTCCTCCTCCTCCTCCTCCTCCTCCTCCTCCTCCTCCTCCTCCTCCTCCTCCCTCTCAGACGCTCAGAGGCCCCACGAGGCCAGGTGGATCAGCGGCCACATCTGAGCGAATGCCCAGCACACCGACGTGCCGAGAGCACCCCAACCGACACGGCAGCGGAGAGCCGAGAGCAGAGAGACGGCGGCCCGTAGAGGGGCGGGCCTCGCGCCTGCCGGGCAAGGCGCCGGAACGACATGACTCGGGCAAAGCATGACATGTGGCACAGCTACGCGACGGTCCTAGAGGCGCCAAGAGGCGCCCAAGATGCCCCCTAAAAGGCCCCAAAGCAGCACCGACGAGGCTTCAGACTGCTTCCCCGAGAGGCCCCCGAGAGGCCTCCCACGAGATTCGAACGAACATCCACCAGGCTTATAACCCACAACCCAGGCAAAGTGGCGGGACTTGCCGTAGGCAACTGGATTATGCGACTTTGCACCTTTTCCTTGGGCGGCCTGCGGGCAACCCGATATAACAAGAACGGGGAGGGGGGCATGGTGTGCAACAAGACAGTTTGGTGCATCCTCTTTCTCCCCCTGGCTGTTTGTGGGAGAACCGCGGGCAGGGGCCCCAGGGCTTCACTTCCTCCGCCTTGGAGCAGAAGAGCCATGCTCAGAATAAGCACCTCTCCAAGGAGCACGGAGCCCTGTAGCAAACGCACGTGAGGGAGGAAACGATTCTTTGGACGCCCGCCATGGGTACGTCGATCCTGGGGCCAGTATTGGCCTGGACGGGGTCGGTGAGGCGGTGAGCCAACGCGCCCTAGGAAGGAAATATGAGAAACATGCAGCATGAGGACCCAACGGGGTCCACCGGCATGCATCCCGTGTGCATGGCACCCGCGGCGCTCCGCACCCGAGCCGCCGATGCGGAGGCGCTTCGCACAGGAGGACACGGGCTCGGCAGACCGAGGAAATCGGTGCACCGTCCGCGGAGACTTAGGTCGGGCGTGTCATCGTACGGGCGGTTTATGGACGAAAACATGAAAATACTATAGACTATTCAAAAAATGCCAACATACAAAAAGCATCGTCCCCTGATTATTCTTCATTTTCTTTTGATCTTCGTCCTGTAGAGTGACAGGCCCGACTTGAGCGGAGACGGCCAAACACCAGTGGTCGGGCACATCGCGAGCTGCGTCATCGAAACGGGTGCGCGCATCGTGATGAGTTCGTACGCGTGGCCATGACCAAACCGAGGCGACAACGCATGCCGTTCTCCAGGCGTCCGCGGGCAACTGACCCCCCCGCGAAAGCAAACTTGCAAGCGACAAGCAAGCGGGCCAGGCATTGATCCTTGCTCTCCCCCAGCCGTCCTCAAGGTCACCCAACATCGCGGCTCGCACCGCGCGAAACGCGGGCATCTTCGCGCTCTGGCGCCGCCCTCGGAAGAGAACAACTATCCGGACCAGACCGTAAAGTACGAACCGAGTCGATCTTCGCGTCCCTCAGGCTGACCTGGATCTCATCTATCAGGATATGACTGCAACGAAGCACGATGAAACTACAGGCTCGGCTCCTGTAGCTCCCACATTCCAGGCAGCGGCAACGAGCGCCTCGGGGTCAGCGGGCAAGTTCACCGGTGCGTCGGTGGCAACCTTCATTTCGGCGAAGGTCTTGTTGCACCGCAAGATCGCCATCAAGCTCGTCGCCACCTTCCGCCGCGAAGGTGAAACTCTTCCGCAAGAGAATTCTGAGTACTCCAGATGTCGTAATAAAAGGGAGGGGGTCTCCACCCCCCTCCCAGACGAGAAGTTTTAGACCCCCCCCCGTGGGAGAACCCTCCAAAACATCGTCCCCAGACCCCCCCAGGCCCTCCAAGATAGCCTGGACCCCCCCCCCCCCGAAATGAGAACCCCCTTCCTTTATTACGAAATCTGGAGTAGTTCCAGGGGCTCCGGGAAGGTTCTGCGGGTTTACCTGGGGGCCTCCCGCCGGAGGGGCAGGGCTGCCCTCCGATCCTTCTCTGCAATTCGGGGGCCCGCTCGCTCGTGCCTGACAGACCCTGGAAACCTGATGTTTTCGGTGCGTTGGCCCTGGAACTCTTGACAGCGTGCCCACGACCAGATCTTGGACGAGGGATCTGATGGCCCCGTGACTCGACAGCAGCGTAAAACAGTCGGGATCGGCTCCCGTAGTGACCTTCGCGTAACGCCAGGGCCCTGCATTCCACTTTCCGAACAGGGGCCTCACTGGACATCCCAGGCTCACTCCAACCGGAATGATCTAGAACAATCATGCATCGGCAGCCATGGGCCCCACTCGAGGCCGAGAGAGAGGGCACAGGAGCCAAGATCTTCCTCCTTGACCTTCCTCATAGGAGGACCTGGGGGAGGATGAAGAGTCGTGGTAGTAGGACAAGCAGGGACGAGGCCTCGCACTTGCCGAACGCGTTTATACCCACACGCTCTTGGCACCCAGTTGTTTTGCAGAGCTGACGCCCTCACCCAGAAGGACTGGCATAATGTGTACGACCGTCCGTGCAAGTATTCGATTACCACACGCGCACACGCGTATACATTCAGACACCATATGTATAGATATACGCATTATATATGTAAAGAGATGTGTGTATACATGTTTGATTCCATTTTCAAATATGCGCACCACCCAAATGAGTGGGTCCCCCTGGAAGAAAATCATCCTGGACAAAAACCGAACCATATGCAGTTGTGGGTACCGCAATTTTGAGTATCGACCTCGGTGAAGCTCCTTATGAGGACATGAAGCGCGGCACTGGGTGGGGGGGAGCGCACGCGGGTGGTGGCACTGGGGGCTTCGGTGGAGCTCCCTATGGGGCCACGAAGCGCTGTACTGGGTGGGTGAAGATGCCAAACTGAATGTGTGGGACGCACGCGGGCGGTCACACTGGGAGTTTCGGTGGACCTGCCTATGGGGCCACGAAGCGCTGTACTGGGTGGGTGAAACAGCCAAGTTGGGTGTTCTGGGACGCGCGCGGACTGTCCCACCGGGGGTTTTCGGTGGAGCTAGCCCTTTTATGGGGCCACGAAGCGCTGTACTGGGTGGGTGACCATACCAAATGTGGTTTTCGGCACGCATACAAACGGTGGCACTGGGGGCTTCGGTGGGGCTCCCTATGGGGCCACGAAACGCTATACCGGGTGGGTGAAAATGCCAGATTTGCTGTTTCGGGATGCGCGCGGACGGTGGCACTGGGGGCTTCGGTGGAGCTCCCTATGGGGCCACGAAGCGCTGTACTGGGTGGGTGAAAATGCAAAATTGAATGCTTCGGGACGCGCGCGGCAGGTCCCACATGTGGCCAAGACGCGCTGTACTGGGTGGGTGAAACAGCCAATTTGGGTGTTCCGGGACGCATGCGGACTGTGGCGCTGGGGCTTCGGTGGAGCTCCCTATGGGGCCACGAAGCGCTGTGTTGGGTGGGTGGAAATGCCGGATTGGGCGTGTGGGGCGCATGCGGACGGTGGCACTGCGGGTTTCGGTGGAGCTCCCTGTGGGGCCACGAAACGCTGTGCTGGGTTTGTGTTCCGGCACGCGCGCGGACGGTGGCACTAGGGGCTTCGGTGGGGCTCCCTATGGGGCCACGAAACGCTGTACTGGGTGGGTGAAACCCAGGGAGGGAAGAGGAGGGGGGAGAGGGAGGAGGGAGGAAGGGGGAAAACGCGGGGACCCTCTCTTCAAAGCGGCGAGAACCCAACACCACAAAATGGTTGGGAAACGCGGAAAACCAGGACCGTGTATCCGTGGCTCTGGGCCCCCCCCATGGCTGCCGCTGCGGAACAATTTCTGAAATTCCGAAGCTCCTGGAAACCCATGCTGAGTTTAGGCAGCGGACCAGAATCGGCCAGCAGGGCAACCGAACAGCCCTGCCAAAACCCCAAAAGGCCCCCATACACCTACTGGACGCCCGAAAACGACTCTAAGTTGACCCCCGAAAAGCTTCATGATAGAAAAAGCAAAGATTTCGCATGCTGATTTTGGAACTGCACTGATTTTCGGTAATCTGGGCGTCCGAAGCCGCCACGGAGACCAAAACAGATTCCCAAAACTATCCGGAAGAATTTCAAGGCCGCCCGAAAGAGCCCCAAGACGACGCATCACCCGAAAATGGCCCGAAGAGAGCCCCTATGACGACCCAGGACGTCCCGAAACGCTCCAAATCGTGACCCGGTCGTTCAAGGAGACCACGGTTGGAAGCAGGGTGGCCCGAGGGACCACCCAGGGTCCCCAGAAGGAGCCTAGGAAGCCTCCAGCAAACCCCAAGAAACCCTTAAAAAGTTCACGACGCCCCCTAAGTCTCTCCAAGAGAAGCTCCCGCGAGAAACGGAACAAGAACAACGGGGGCGAAGACGCAGTGTAGGGCGAGAGCGAGGACGAGGAAAGTGAACACATGAGGGAACAGCAACGAAAACGTGATTACAAAGACGATTTGGCAAACAACATCAAACCACGATCGTTGGATGCTCCGTTATGCTTTCCTGCCCTTTCGCCTGCATGCCAAATATCATAAACCAGAACCTGTCGCGAAGCGCCACTGCACTCGTGTGCGTACATATGCTTCTACAAGATATGTGTATGTATGCGTCGTCGCGTCTGCATTTTACTGACATATTCCTAAACCTATACATAATCAGTAGAACCACGCGCGCTACGTGGGCCAAGGTTCTAGCAGGCTGCGCAATCGTTGACAATGGACCTGGTGCAAATCCACCCCAATATACCCAGGGAAAAAGGTTCCCCAGGCAGGGGTTATTCGGCGCACGGGGGTGCCGGGCCTCATGGGGGATAGCTGAAGGTTCGGTGGGCGGTCGCGGAGCCGTGCGAGATCGACGTGCGACGCGTCGGAAGGCTCCGAATGTTTCCCAGACTGTGCAAGTGATGTGACTGCCACGGTGGCCGAGGAGTGCCCCAAAGGCTCTGGGCCGCCAGGCCGTCGCCGCCGCCGCCGTCCCCGCGGGCGCCGCCGCGCCCGCACCCGCCGCCGCCATCGCGATGATCGTCGCGGCGGTCGTCGGAATGGTCGTGGTGGTGGTGGTCGTCTGTGGGCGTGATCAGGAGGTCTGCGGGGCCCCCAGGGTCTCCAAGGGGCTTCAGAGGACAGCATGAGAGGGCGCAAAGGGGCGCCAAGAGAGCGTCCAGAGCGGACCAGAAGCCCAACAAGTGAAAACAAATTTGGCACAATGCCGCCCTTGGCGATGAAGCGGGTTGCGTCAAATTTGACTGAAGTTTAGGGGCCGCCCTCTTGGGGCCGCCTCGAAGATCTCTTGGGGCGTCTTGGGCGCCTCTAGGGCCGTCTTCGGGCCCCATTGGGCTGCATGTGGGCCCTCTTGGGGACCTCCTGGGCCTTCTCGGGGCAGTCTTGGGGGCATCTTGAGACGCCGTGGAACGCCACAAGCTCGAAAACCATAGACCTTCGAAAACACATAAAACCGAACAAGTATCATTGACAATCATTGGCGTTTGCCTGTTGCGGTCATCTGGGGAGCGCTCGTCGAATCATCTTGGGCCGTCTGGCATCTTAGGACGGCAAGCTGGAACTGTCGCTTCGGTCTCCTGCGCTCGGGCCCCTCTTGGGACCGTCTTGGGGCGTCTTGGCCGACTCTAAGGCCGCTTGGGGCCCCCATTGGGCCGCCTTTTGGCACTCTTGGGGGCCGCGTGGCCTGTTTCGGAGCGGTCGCGGGGGCCTCCCGGGGCGTCGCGGGGCGCCGGGAGCTGGAAAAGCCGGGAGCTCCGAAGACATTGAAAAACGCACGGGACATCAATGGTTCCTGGGGCCCACTTGGGAGCGCTCGTCGAGCACGGGGTGTTGCGTTGAAAACGGAGCCACGGCGAACGGTCGGCGGAGGGCGCGCGGCGGGCGGGCGGCGGGCGGGCGAAAACCGGGCGGGCGGATCTGGATTTAAATAAGGAGTTCCTGAAGATTTTCTCTTGCAGCGGGCTGCCGTTGAATGCCGGGTGTAGCGCTGGAGACGGACGCTGTTAAGTGCCCGGTATTGTGTTGGAGACGGACGCTGTTGATTAGCGGGTGTTGCGTTGAACGCGGAAGCTCGGCAAACGGGCGGCGGGGGGCTGCAGCGGGCGGGCGGCGGGCGGGCGGCGAGCGGGCGGCGGCCGGCGGGCGGGCGGATCGGGCTTTGAACAGAACTCCCAAAAATTCCCTTCTGCAGCGGGATGTTGTTGGATAGTGGGTTTTATTGGAGACGGGAACAGTGGAGTGCTGGTTCTTGTGTGGGAAACGGACGTTGTTGAGTACTGGGCGCTGCGTTGAACGCGGAATCTCGGCGGGTGGGCGGCGAGAGGCGGGCGGCGGGCGGCCGGCGAACGGTCGAATCAAGACTCTCAAGACGCACTTGCAGCAGATGCCATTGAGTAGTGGACGTTGTGTTGAAGATGGGAGCTGTTGGGTACTGGGCGTTGTGTTGGATACGGACGTCGCGCTGAGCACTGGGCGTTGCGTCGGACGCGGGGGCGCGGCGAACGGGCGGCGAAGAGCGGCCGGCGGGCGGGCGGCGACCGAGCGGCGGCGGGCGGGCGGATCGGGGTTCTCGAAACTCCTAAGCGTTCTCCCTCGCTGCAGGACGCCGTTGAATACTGGGTGTCGCGTTGGGGGCGGAGGCTCTGCAGTGCCCGGCGTTGCGTTGGAGACGGATGCTGTTGAGCACTGGGCGCTGCGTTA